GTCTCGCCAAGTTGCCCAGGCGGGTCTCGAACCCGCGGGCTCAGGCAATCCACTCACCTCAGCCTCCCAAAGCACAGGATTACAGGCTGAGCCACCAAGACCAGCTCCGTCTGATTTTTTAACACAGATCGATGCTAGGTTTATTAAATAAGGAAAGACTATAAATAGTTGAGGGTTTGTACTTTGTCTTAAATTTTGTTTTAAGAACAAAGTCAAAAAACTTGAAATGTAATGAGCCTTTCATGACTCCTGACACTACCCTGTTCTCTCTCTATATAGATTATATGTAATTTGTAATTAAATAGTCCGCCTACAGGTTATTTCATCTAAGAAAGCTCCTTTTAGTGCATCTGTCATCTTCCTACCTTCTGTTATTTCCTCTGATTCTACAACTTTCTTAGTCTTCTTCTTGTCTGGTGATTTGGGTGAACGTTTGGATGTTGATTTGATGATTTGAGATGCTCCTGGAGGTGAACGTGCAGCCTTTGAAGATGGTGGTGTGGGATTATGCACTGAGGCCAAGCAAGACAGGTCAGTAAACATCCTGTTCATATTTATCAGCAACTCTTAACTGTGAAAAGCACGGATGCATCTAACTTCAAAAGTAGATGCTGGTGAAAGCCGGGGCAGGCAGGCTAATGACCAATACTAATGACTGCAGACCAATTAATTCGGAGGATGCATTGCTATAAAATAACGGTTCTCACATTGTCATCAGTTATGACAAGGAGCAAAGTTTCAGGAACCAGAAAACCTGAGTTCCAGTCCTAGGCCTGCAAGTCTTTACTATTGTGCCCTTGGGGAAATAATCCTCTTGTACTTCAATTTCTTGTCTGCAAACTAGGATGTTTATTCAAGATGATTTCTGAAGGTATTTGCCTGCCCAAAAAGTACTTAATCCTATGAGCTTCATCCCTCGTATAGCCCTTCTGTGATTATAAAAGTAATACCACATGTAAGTGACAGACTAGTTATGTTTTTGAGACGAGAAATATAATAATTACATTTTTCCTGTTTTCATATTCATTTAAATCAAATGATCCCAATTTATCTTTTATTTCTTTTAACTACAAAAGTTCTACACGCATAGTCTTGTGAAAATGTCACACCTTCGCATATACCTTTCCTGCAAATGTGCTGGCCTTCCCAAAGAGAAAACAACTGTTAATGATTTGTTTAAAATCTTGTATCCCTCTTCCCTCCCTTCCTCCCTTCCTTCCTTTCTTCCTTCCATTCTTTCATCTTTTTTTTTTTTTTTTGAGTCAGCGTCTCACTCTGTTGCCCAGCCTAGACTGAGTGCAGAGACACAGCTCACCACAGCCTCAAACTCCTGGGCTCAGGTGATCCTTCTGCCTCAGCTTCCCAAATAGCTATAACTACAGATGTGTGCCACCAAACCTGGCTAATTTTTTTTTTTTTTGGTGCAGAGACTCGCTATGTTGCCTAGGATGATCTAGAACTCCTGGATTTGAGCATTCCTCCAGTCTTAGTCACTCTAAGTGCTAGAATTACAGACGTGAACTACTGTGCCTGGCTTCTCCCACCCATTTTCATGTCTAGGAGAGAAGACATGGAATTTTTTTTTTTCATCATTAGGAACCAGAAGAAGAAGGACTTCTGAAGGATAAGGAAGCCGAGCAATAGGGACTCTCTGGGTACCGGAGGGTTATGATAAGTCCTGCTCTCACCACATCTCCTCAGAACTCTGTTGCTATAGTTGCCATGAACTGACCACTGGGCCTCTTCTCCTTTCTCCTTCCACCCACTAAAAACACCAAGTATCTCAATTTGAGAAACAGTTCTGCCATGAATCATACTAGCGAGTGCTCTTGGGAAAAAACAGTTAACTTGTTGGATTCAGTTTTCTCACCCATGTTCGGAGGCTCTTGGATGGCTGTGATTTCTTCAATTCTTGAAGTGTTATGATTTTTAGATACTTGGATGCCTATACATAGTATCTATACTGAAACAACTAAGTGGTGAATCGAGATAGCTTCGTTGTTACTTTAAATAATAAAATAGTGAAGTTCTGGATGGATCCTTTATTTTCAGTTGACTATCTTGTGAATTCTGTAAATGAAATTGTCTGGCATTGCCTTCATTGATTTTTTTTTAAACCAAGTTCTACCTAAGTTTCAGGTAATCTGATGCAACATCTCATAGCATTAAATATTGTCTCTATTAAAATGTTCCCTCTATGCTTCATCAGTCTCTGACCATCTTCACTCCCCACCCATCCTCTGCTCAAAACAAAGTCTTAGGGTGGTTTGTTTTTGTTTTATTTGTTTTGTTTTGTCTCAGAGCCAAAACAATTATCAGTATAATGAGTAAATGCGTGTCACTCATCATGGAGTCTTCTGGAAGCTGCAGGAATGCTGAGCTCTATGAGTTTTTTATTATAAGGGTGTTGTCTTCGTTATTTTTGGAATAGTGTCCAATAAAAACATTGGGCAATTAAGAAACATCCCACAACTCTGCTGATTAACAGTTTTCCCATCTGTTTCTCCACTGTTCTAAAGAAGCAGGAAGTGCAGCCTTGTTTAAATAAAATGATAAGATTGATTATGCAAGTAAGGTTTATTTTGACTTTTACCCCCACAAATATTCTTGTTTTAGCAAAGTAGGATTTAAGAACAAGCACTTGGTAAAGGAATCTAGCACTTAAGAATATTTTTAAAATCTTTTTTTGTGAAATCTGGAGACTTTTGTTATACTCTCAGAGTACCTTCAAGACTCAAACAGAGATTTTAAAATAGGACTGTTTTTTTTACTCTGTCATGCACAGAACATATAATTGACAGTTAACAACTTCTTAGTAGATTAGCCTGTAAGTTTAATGGTTTGAACTATTTTATAAAATTACTTTTTCAGAGAAGCTGAAAGTATCCTTAAATATATACTCAGACCTTGAGGTCAAAATCACCCATAGCTCAAAGGACAGTTGACTTTGTAAAAGCAGCAAGGGTGAGAAGACATCATCAAGTGGGCTGATTACTGTTGATTTAACCTGAAATTGAGCCACTTCTGAAGAAAAAAAGCATGTACGCTCTGCCCCTATCCTCTCTTACTCATCCGGCTCTCTCTTGTGCTCATCTAGGGATCTCTTGTGCTCTTGGAGCCTGACTGATCCAGGGGTGCTGCTGTTGGAAGGCGCTTTTCTTCCTTAATTCATCTCTGTGACACAAAATTATTATTAAATAGTGTATATGTTAGTCAATTGAAGCCTTAGATGAACTGCGTGTTAGACATTATTAGTGACACCAAGGAAGGTGCAGAAAGCTGGCTATGTTGGGAGCGTTGATTGGTCCTGGGATGCTTACCTTCTGCACAGAAGCTCTCATAATCAGGACAGCACTTGCCATACTCCTTACATTGGGAGTCACAGTCACACTCCCTCCCTCGGGCAAAAGACTCAAAGCAGCGGCCTTTACAGGAAAGGTCTACCCAGAGCAAAACAAAACATTATGGATTATTAATTATGAATCTGCACACGTGCATTTGGTAGCCATTTCCCACCTTGTAACTGACTAGAGTTTCAAATACTTCTAAAGCTTGTATTTGAAATTTGGAGTACATCATCCAGAAAAAATGTGTCCCAAATGGAGACAGCCCAAGTCAAGAAAGAAATATGGTAACTTAGGGCAACTCTTCTTGGCCCTTCAAAGCTCTAGGAGACCACCCCAATGCTGCCTGTGTCATTTACATGTATGGACAATGGAAAACTGGGAAATGTCTAAAGGGTGAAATACAGTACACTTCATATGAAATTCCTCCAATGTCTCCTCTTCACATCACTGCTTTGTAATAGATTTATACTAATTGAATATTCAAATCTCAGCAATATATTCCCAAGAGCTGGTTTAATATAAATGGGTCACTATTCAGGCTCAAAAATAATTTTAAAATATAGAGAACTTCATGATGACAAACTGGAAAGCATTCGGTCCCCACCATGGTCTTACATGGTGGAGACTATTTAAGAGAAGCCTACTCATTAAAAAAAAAAAAACCATGGTTAAAGGTACAGTGACTTACCAAGGCCTATTTGAAATAATTACCTTATCTAGTACATGAATTGTACAATAACATATTTGTCAGATCCCTATGCAAATTCTAAAACAAATATAGCGTTTAAACCATTGTAATTATAATTTTCATAAGTTGAATATGAAATGTTTCTGTGTTAATAATAAAATGGCCTAAACTATGTTCAAATGAAATACGACTCACAATCTAAAATTTAGACCTTTGAGTTTTAACTGAAACTCATCATTATACATTAGTGCTTTATCTTTTAAAGTGCCTTTTTAAGTAACTTAGAAACATGTTAATATGAGAAAGTTAAATAGTAGACAAGATTATTCTATGCTCATGGATTCTTGTGATGAAACTATTGGAAGACTCCATCACTAAGCAATTACCTCTCTGATGGTTAGTAAGTAATTGCTCCTTGTTCTTTACTTAATGACTACTGAGCCACAGTACCGTCTCTAAATAAAACAAAACATTTTACATGGAACTAGTCAGTAACCTTGTACAAGTGACAGATTTCCAGGCTTCCTTCCCCCCCATCCCCCCAATAATCAAAAGTTTTGACACCATCCTTAGATTCAGTGCCTGGCAACATTTATGCGAGTGAAGGAAAAAGCACGTAAGCAAAGGAAGTGAAATAGTGGGAAAACAGCACTGCAAGGGGGTGCGAGGGGAGGCTCACAGAACAGTATTGCTTGACCAGCTCTCAGGACTTACCCACAGTGCAGACTCTCTTGAAATCAGGGCAGCACTCCATGTAGAGTTGACAGTTATAATCACAGTTGCAGGTGGCATCTCTAGAATACCCTTCCCCACATCTCCCTGCACAGCTTGATAAATCTAAAATTATACAATACTAGCATAAATATGGCCAAACCACTGTATAGAAAGGGAGAGATCCAATGAGGGGTCAAGGCCACTTGGTGAGGGAGAATTTTATGGATTGTTTGGCATGATGGTTAGTGATATTTGGCTGATCTCTTATGTGATTGTGATATCACTTTTTCTTCACTAGACTGAGAAGATAAAATACACTTTTGAAAGTCAGGCAAAGTAATGGCTTTGCATAAAAAGGGTAACATTTCCCAGGGAAAGGTGGCAGCTCCAGCTACTACAGATATTGCAGCTATGATGATTACTAGTAGCCATTTACTGAGCATCTCTGTGCCATGTACTGAGTCATACATGGTCTCTAATGCTTATGGAAATGTTTCCAGGAGATGATTAGTAGCCTCTTTTTAGAGATAAGGAAGTCGAAACACAGAAATTATAATAATTTGTTCAATGGCACACAGCTACTTAACAGTTCCAGGATATCTGTATTATAGGTCAATTAATACCAATTATTTGTACTGGCCTCTTACTCTTATAAGTGTCCTGATTTGGATAATAAATTTTACAGTCATCTTAAGTAAACAATCCATCCAGAATTTGGACTCTGATATGTCACATTGCCTTGTATTTCTGATGATGATTTTAAAGCAAGTTGATCATGCCAGCACAGATTTTACTAGGCATTATTCTCCTTTATCCGTGGGGAAAACGGGATTCATTAAATGCTGGGGAAGCCAGATGCTTACAACCATCACTAAAGTGAATACAAAATGGAGAAAGTTTGAATAGCATCTGGTCATGAATATAAAGGTTGTGAACAGAGTTTTTCTGGGCAAAAACCAAGCAACAAAAAAGCATAATTATCCTCAAATATTTTTTAAAAGGTCATTTGGAAAACAACACTTTAAAAACCTCCCTGAGATAATCATAAGAAAGCAACAATAGAATCCGTCTCTGGAGTATAAATAGACAAGTGCAATCTCCTAAATCCATAGAGGAATGTTGAAACACACACAGAAAAAAAAGTCTCAAAACAGTAGAGTCCAAGAAAGTTAAAGTCTGAATATGCAAATAAAACAGTAAGTAGTAGGATAATTTTCAGAACTTTTTGCATACATATGTGCACAATATATACAAGAACACATATATAGTGCATGTATATAAATACATACTTATAAAGAAAAAAGAACAAGAGGTTGACAAAGCAAGAGAAGCAGGCAAGACAACATCAAAAGATTGTTCTTTTACAGCTAGCAGATTTCTGAAGAAATCAATTATCTTTATATTAAAAATATATTTTCATAGATTAGATGTCTGTTGGTTGCTATTAATTTCAATTTCATTTATTTAAAGGAATGTAAAACTATTTTAGCGAACAACCCATCATATTACAGAGGAAAGGTGGTTTAGGAAATAAACCCTCCAGTTTGTGCCTTGTAATAATATTATGAGAGAGCTGAAGGTCTTGAGATACCAGAGTAGTCATCTTTCCTTACTAAATATTCATATTTGCTTTCATGTACTTTTCTCTCTTATCTAAGTGATTCTCCAAGTATGCGTGCAGGCTGTTATCTCTCATGTTCAAGTTTCTTGATAATTTTGGTTATTTTACTGGAAATGTCTACTTTAGAAATGTAATTTCACAATCATGAATTTTGGTTTTTCTTTTCTCATATTCTGCTTACCAAAGGGGGCAGGGGAGAAAAGAATTAAAAGCCTGGCATTGTTACCACTAATCAACCTAGCAAATAATCACGTTAGCGACTTGCTAATGTGATTATGTTGAATGCACTTTAACATTTTCTAAAAATGAACAATAAGAACTGTTCATCCAAGACAGCCTCTGTTTTGGCAAGACTGTGAGTAGCTCAATATAACAATACAAAATGACAGTCACATCTGTATAAGTCCATACCTGGGTGAATAGGCCTTGCAAGAAAGAATACTTTCAAGATTAATATAATGCTATTTGAAACATTGAAAATGATCATTATAAAATGACATCCATGACCAAATGATGTTGAAATAAGTTACTGATAATGTATTTGATGTAAAAGACTAATTAAATTTATTTGTCAACATATGGGCAAAAATGATATGCTATTTAAGTATTATGATTTTTTTAGTTATGTTGATTATTGTATGGCTCCAGCATAGTTTTATCATGTAGGTATCTGCATTTTATTAAACTTTTGGGAGAGCCATAGGAATAATGAGTACCAAAATTGTTCTGTATAAAAGCTCCAAACTTTTTGAAAGGAGAAAAACATGGGCATTCCAAAACACTTATAAATATGCTACACAAGTTTTACACTATTTTAGGGTTGTACTACATATCAAACTCAAATATAAATTTTTAGAAATCTACTTATTTTATTATAAAAATCAAGACTGCATGATTGCAATAGTTGATAAACAAAAGTATTTTTGAGGGCTAAGTTACCTTGAGAGGAAACTTGCTGAATCAAGAAAACAGAAAGCAGCAGCAACAGGTAAATGGGAAGTATTTTCCACTCCATGGTTTTCAAGTGCTGCACTCTTGCTGAAAACACAATAAAAGTATTAGAAAAATGCTCTGTAATCTCACCACTAATTTATGCTTTTGACAGATTTAATCTTATGCAAAACAAATCATCCAGTCACCCTCAATCATGTTATTGACCATTTAAATACTTGAGAAACCTCCAACATAGAGAACAGACTTACATTAAAACTCCATTGAAAGTATAGCATGTGCTTATAGTGCAAGGTTTAAATTCTGTCTTGGGGAAAAAACAACTGGCTTCAGAAAAATTCAATTTAATGAGCATAGCAGAGTTATTGCTCTAACTTTCCCTTACCTTGCAATATAAATTCAAAGGCTCCAACAGGTGTATTGCATAAAGATGATTCTTTTCCAAATTCTCCAACTACTATCCTTATAAATCTTTTTCAAATACCATTAGTGAAAACACATTTAATTCCATGAAACAAGTTGACTTTGACACTTACCCGTAAAAGGATAGATGAGTTTCTCCAATATCCTGGAAGTCTTATATATCAGTGCAAATATATTGGGATGAACCAATTCGTCCAAAGGTTAGACTAAATCAACAGTGACAGCCTATGAAATCAAACTTTCCTCATTTATTGGAAGAGGGCCCAGACGACTAGACTTAAGCAACATCTGGAAAACACTTCCATTAAGAAAAATGACTACTACAAAATAAATTTAGATTTGTTGGCCAAAACACATTTCTAATTTCTAAGTGAAATGAACAAATTGTTCTGAGATGGTAAATAGCTCTGTCAGGCTTTAGTTAGAATATTGAAGCAGCAACTTTAAAATAGTCAAATGCTGGAATCATTTTTTTCTTTTTTTTCCAGTTAAATCTAGCAAAGAGCTTTGAAACTTACCTAGTATTAGCTGTGGCATGAGTTTTCTGAACTTATACCATTAAGGAAAATGTATATTACCTTTTTGAGTAGTTTCACTGAGCACAGAAAACATGTTCTCAATTACCTACAGGTGAGTTACTGACTAGATTTTTTTTTTTTTCTAGCTTCCTTTACTATGTTGAAAACTGTATTGGTATTTCCCTTACCTCCTTTTTTTAAGACCAGTAATGTTTGGAAAAAGCATTTTAAATTATTAATTTTGTTTCTGTGAACAACCAACCTTGCAGAGCTAAGTCAGCTCAGCTCAAGACTTTACCCCATTTCGATGTGGAATGTTATTGTTTAAATCTTGCCCACCAAGTTAAAGCCTCTTTCATGTCCTAAATACCTCCCTGAAACCTTCCCAGATCAATCCAAATCACGTCTAGAATAACAGTCAACAAATGTACTATGTTTTGTTGAAAGTATCTATTCATCTCTCTCCTACCCTTGATAGACTTTGATTTCCTTAAATACAACCAGTATCTTAATTCCACTGCCAATATCTAGTCTAGTGCTTCACCAGGGTTATGTGTTTAACACACACTCAGGAAATCAGACTACTGTAGCCTGGATTCTGCTGTATACTATGCATTTGGTAGGTGCTGCATTTAATTATCACAAAATACCTTTAAGTTAAATTTAATCATCTACATTTTATAAATAAGATGAAGACCCACAAATGAAGAACTTGTGACCCATCCCAGGTTCCATAAAGACTAGGGGCTAGAACTAAGATTTGAATCCATGTCTTTGCATTTTATGTCCCATCATGTTTCCACTATACCCAGCTCTCTTTTGATCAAAACCATCACTTCAGTATGTAATCATTGTACTAAATATTACTCCTTCGTGTGTCTGTATAGATTTATAAGACTGTGACCTTTCTAAGAACAGAGATTATAACATAAGCATCTCTTTTGTTTCCACAGTGATTATTTCTGGGATAAACATATAAAGATAATGTAGATGCTATCTGCTTACCTCTTACCAATCCCCTTTCTCTGGGATCTACCTCCCAAGCTATAGGAGTATTTTTCTTTTAACCCTGATAGTATATGTTATCTTGCCACATCAGCCACGGCAGATAGGATTAAGGGTAAAAACCTAAACTAACCTGAGTCGATATGTTTCCTTCTCCTGGAAATTACGATTTAGAGACTACAAATCTCTGTGTCTATGTAGACCAAGAACATGTACATTTTTGCCCATGACCTAAAGAAGTAGAGAAAGTCCTTCAGAATAAAGAGATGCATATGAATAAAGCAGAGAGAGATTTCTGATAACTGTATAAGTCTTGACTACTCTTTGTTTTTTAGACCCAACTTCTTGCTCTGTACCTTTATGGTAAATTCCCCCTTTAAAGCTGATACTAGCTAAAGATGCTTTTTGCTTCTGCAAATCACTGATCACTACATACTAGATACACAAAAGAACCTGTTGGGTGGAGAACAGAATTCTCTTAATTCTTAGCTATACTATAAGGGCAAGAGGGAGAAGCTAGAAGTTTTGCAACTTTTTCAAGTCAGACCTTTCCTTTAGAGTGTTGCTTTGTTATTTGCTTGGAATATTGGGAATACTCAAATAAGATACAAATATACACACAAACACATATTTCTAAATAAAATATAATTTTTTCTCTGATTATTGCCTTTTGAACTGTACTATCATTTTCCTCTTTTGTATGAAATTTATTGTAGTAATGGCAAATAACATTCTTATATTGACAAATATGCACATGTTTTAAAGTTCAAGTTCTAGGCCTGAAAAAAAACAAACAAAATACACATACACACACACACACACACACACACACACACTATTATAGTCAATGTGAGTTTTAACTTTTAACATATCCATCAACATATTATCATCAAATATATGAAAAAGAATGAGAAACTATTCAATGCCCAGCTTATTAAGTATAACTCATAAAAATCTTATTTGCCTCATTTTATTGGGTAATGAGACTGTCTGGGTCAAGTTTAAACATGTAAACATTTTAATTTGTGCTATTAAATATATTTGTGTAAACTCTACCTAATACTCCATTCTGTGAATATTGGATCATTTAATATTCCTTGTTGATTACGATTGTCCCATCAGGTCAGAGTTTCTTCCTTGAAGATTTCATTAAAGGTATTTTCTTAATATTCCTTTAAATTTCACTTAACTGGGGTAAAAATCTTGATGCTGGGGGAGAGGAAAGAGAGGTGGAGAGGACGTACACAATATTAAATCATAGACTCCTCTTCGAGGGATGATTTTCACACAGTTCGCCCTAATGGTCATCAGCTGGTGTACTTGGCAGCAATACAATGATGCCTTCAGGGAACATTCAAGCATGTTAAGGGATATAGTCTCTTCATTCGCTTATCCGTGTGGTGTATTCTGTCTCCATCCCTGCAGTTAGCTGTCACGTTGCCCTGTAGCCAGAGTGTCTGCACCTAGTGGCTTCCCTCCACCTTTCCATGTCTTTGATGTGTTTCATTTCCTTTCAGCAGCAGCTTAGGAAAATCCCAAGCATGCCAGGGGAAAACCACAGATGCAGCCTTGTTCTTTACTGCTCTAATTTTGCTCACAATGCTAAGTTAGCATACTCTAGAGGTGAAATAACTCCCCTCCTCCCATATTAAATAGAGACTAGGGCTTGGGGACTACTTCTGTGCATCCTATTAAGGCATTTTCACATATTGGAAAGGACTGTGAATTTTTTTCTAGATATTTGATCAAAGTATGACTATTATATCAGTAAAAGTATTATTGTATTTGCTTTGGGAGATTGTGGCAGCCTGATCATTGGTCTCAATAATTACCTGAGACACAGAAAGAAAAAGTAACATGCTCAAGACTGTAAAACTAGAAAGCCAGGAAATGGTAAAGTTACTGTTTTAACCCAGTTCTTGTCCAACTCCAAAGCCCATGATTTTAACCAGTCCTATAACCCACATGCTGTAATATTCAGTGTTAATAACCACCTTCTTTGGCCAGGTACAGTGGCTCAAGCCTACAATCCCAGCACTTTGGGAGGCCAAGGAGGGAGGATTGCTTGAGAACAGGGGTTCAAGACCAACCTGGGCAACATAGCGAGACCTTATCACTACAAAAACAAAAATTTAAAAATTAGCTGAGTGTGGTGGCACATGCCTGTAGTCCCAGCTACTCAGGAGGCTGAAGCAGGAGCATGGCTTGAGCCATGATCCCACCACTGCACTCCAGGCTGACCCAAAAGAAAACAAACAAACAAAAAACCCACCACAATTAACTATCTTCTTTGTGCTTCTACATTAACTATATTTAACTCTAAAATGTGCTTTGGGAGGCTGAGGTGAGTGGATTGCCTGAGCCCGCGGGTTCGAGACCCGCCTGGGCAACTTGGCAAGACCTCATCTCTACAATAAATCAAAAATCAGCCGGGCATGGTAGCGCGTGCCTGTAGTTCCAGCTACTTGGAAGGCTGAGGCGGAAGGATCGCCGGAGCCCAGCAGGTTGAGGCTGCGGTGGCTGGGAGCGGCCACTGCACTCCAGTCTGGGCGACTGAGTGAGACTCCAACTCAAAAAAAAAAAAAAAAAATGGCATATCATTCTTCTTGTCCATTGTGTTGTAAGTTTCTTACGGTTTCAGAATGACTACATTTTGTACTCTTTTCACAGCTAGTGTGTTTTTTTCTTACACATTATTGGTACATTACAGCTGTTTGGAGAATTAAACTTAGGTTTACTTTCTTCTAATGACCCCTTTGGCGTTATATCTCTGTTTTCTAACCCAAATCACTATAGAATTGTGATCATTCAAGTCCACATTATTTGGCTTCCAGATGTTAAGGAAGCATACTATGTGACAGCTCAGACAGGAACATTACAAACTTATTTTCCAGTAGCCAACATGAGTAATTTCCTCATAACTATTTAAGTGAATGAAAGTGAATTGGGGTGCTATAATAACTCAGTGTGACAAATGCTTGAGAATTGGGAAATTTAGAGAGTAGGAGCAAAGTCTGGGTGTGGTTGAAGGACCCATGGATAGGTGGGACGGGGGAAAGTCTCCCAAGAGACACTGTGGAGGACATTTCATTGAGTCATTCCAAAGCAGGAACACCAGGTTCTTTAAAGTATATATATGTATTTTATATATGTATGTATATATGTATTTTATTTTTTATATTTTTGTAAAGATGAAGTCTTGCTATGTTGACCAGGCTGGTCTCAAACAAGTGATCCTCCTGTATCGGCCTCCCAGAAAAGTAATCATGCTGGGATTACAGGCATGAGCCACAACACTGACCATGATAATAGAGTATAATGCAGTTTTAGCTGATTGTATAGCATTGCATAAAAATCCTTTTAAAATCCCTTTCCCTTTGATGGTAGCTAATTCATGACAAAAGAATTAAGAATATTTGCAATGAACTGTTTCTAAGGCGCTTCTAATAAGCTTGATACACAAAGCCTAAACAAAAGCTTAAAATAAAATATAACATTTCCCATCTATTTTTGCTCACCTAAAATTTTACCACCACCCTAACACGCTATTTGCATTGATACCTATTCTCTTCCAGATTTTGTCTTTATGCAATTAAAATTGTATAA